GAATGAAATGAATGAATGAAATGAAGTGAAATGAAATGAAATGAAATGAAATGAAATGAAATGAAATGAAATGAAATGAAATGAAATGAAATGAAATGAAATGAAATGAAATGAATGAATGAATGAATGAATGAATGAATGAATGAATGAATGAATGAATGAAATGAAATGAAATGAATGAATGAAATGAAATGAAATGAAATGAATGAATGAAATGAAATGAAATGAAATGAAATGAATGAATGAATGAATGAATGAATGAATGAATGAAATGAAATGAAATGAATGAATGAAATGAAATGAAATGAAATGAAATGAAATGAATGAATGAATGAATGAATGAATGAAATGAAATGAAATGAATGAATGAAATGAAATGAAATGAAATGAATGAATGAAATGAAATGAAATGAAATGAAATGAATGAATGAATGAATGAATGAATGAATGAATGAATGAATGAATGAATGAATGAATGAAATGAAATGAAATGAAATGAATGAAATGAAATGAAATGAATGAATGAATGAATGAATGAATGAATGAATGAATGAATGAATGAATGAATGAAATGAAATGAAATGAATGAATGAAATGAAATGAAATGAAATGAAATGAATGAATGAATGAAATGAAATGAAATGAAATGAATGAATGAATGAATGAATGAAATGAAATGAAATGAATGAATGAAATGAAATGAAATGAAATGAAATGAAATGAAATGAATGAATGAATGAATGAATGAATGAAATGAAATGAAATGAAATGAATGAATGAAATGAAATGAAATGAAATGAATGAATGAAATGAAATGAAATGAAATGAATGAATGAATGAATGAATGAATGAATGAATGAATGAATGAATGAATGAATGAATGAATGAATGAAATGAAATGAAATGAATGAATGAAATGAAATGAAATGAATGAATGAATGAATGAATGAGTGAATGAAATGAAATGAAATGAAATGAATGAATGAATGGATGAATGAATGAATGAATGAAATGAAATGAAATGAATGAATGAATGAATGAATGAATGAATGAAATGAAATGAATGAATTATCAAATAATAAAATTCATGGAGTACAATTGCAATACCTGTTAATAAATGATTTACTGATATTTGTATTTATTTGCTTTTTTGTTTCAATTTGAAATAATAATAATAATAAAGGTTTCGAAAATAAAACCAATGAAAATAAACTTTTCGTTAATGTTTTATAATATTTTATAAATTAGCACGAGTTTATGGCGATGAAATTGCCAAAGAAGTAATTAAAATTTGATAAATGTGGTGTTTAATGTTTATTAATACGATTAATTTATGTCGTTGATATATTTTCATTCACTATTCTGTGATGAAGAGTATTAAAAATATAACTACAATTGAAATATATTATATACAATGATTGAAGGAATAGCAGAAACTTAATTGTTTTCTTTAACGGCTATAGTTACTTATCAGGTAATTTTAGCTAGATTAAAATAAGTGTCGCTTATTTTTTTTTTTTTTTTTTTGTTTCTTTTAAATTATTTCATATGTATTAAGTCATTTATACATGTAAATTAACTTTTACCGTAACTCTAACTGGATTTTTAAATACTAATGGAGAAGATATAACAAAATAACTAATAAACATTAATTCAAAATTATTCTTTTCATAATATTTTCAAATTTAAAATGATAAAACCCTAATTTGACGAATTAACATTTAAACTTCTTAAGACATATTCTCTCACCAATCAACTATTAGATTTTACGCCTCCAATAAATTATCGTAAAATAGCACGTGAGTGTTCATGCGTAAGTCTAATGTTGCAGAAATTTAATTTTAACATTAAACTTCATTATGTTGTAGTAAAGTGTTATATGTATTAAAATTAACGATTAGATTTGACTTTTTTAGCAACGTTCATGCATTATCACTATGAGAACGACATTACCGCAAAATCCTTCGTTGTTTCATTGATTTGATATCGACCACTTCATGCAATAACATTACTGTATTCTCGTTACTTTACCACAGTATTACTTTAGACTTATTTTAAATAAATTAACCTAACAAATTATTTTTGATAAATTATTTAATAATATTATTAGCTCACTGCAATGTAGCAATCTGAAGCATCAACAAATAAAATATATATGACACTTAAAATTTCTAATAAAACCATTTGTTTAATTAATTAAACAGATTGATTGAAGAACAATAATTAGTCATTTTTTTTAATTTTCTGACGTCAAATTTTCTCTTTCTTATAACTTAAATTCAAAGAAAAAAAAAGATTTTTTTTTTCACAAATATTTATTGTATAAGTTTTATGAAATATAATTATGATAGGAAAATAATTTAATTTTTCACTATAATGTACTTTTTCTTTCCTGACGTAAATTTGGTATTGGAAATTTTTAATTTAATTTATAACTATTTTTCTCTCTTTTTTCTTTTTCTTTTTTTTTTTTTTTTTTTTTTTTTTTTGTTTAGAACTTAGGAACAACATATGTGGCCGAAAATTTATCAGCAATATCACCAACAGTATCAGTATCATCTATTTGTCATCCTCGATCACAGCATCAGCAGCAAAAGCAACAATCACAATATAAATTAGCAATTGGTAATAATGCTGTTATCACAAATGATGCAATAGATAGTGATAATGCAATACAACAAACTGTGATACCATCATCAGCGGTATTAACTAGCGCTGGTATCAATAGCGATCGACGAGTTTTTTTTCAAGACGAATTATCTACTACAGCTGGACCCATCTCAACTACTGAGGTCTGTGATTATCAATCATTATCAGTTACAGTAAAAAATATTCCTGATATTGGTGATATTTATTGTGAACAACAAAAACTTTTTTTACATTATTTTTTCATATTTGATCGAAGTTCACGATCAATAATTGACGTTAATTTAGAATAAATCACTTAACGGCAATTATTAGAAATTTCAAAATCATTGCAAAATTTCAGTGACATTATTTTGCATCTGATTTCAAAAAAATAAAAACCAAAAAAAAAGACTTTCTATTCTTTTTTTCTTGCTAAACATAGAATAAGTATGAATTTGTAGGTATAATAATTGTTAATATTACTTAGATAAAAAAAAGTGCAGCTATCTGTATATTTATTAAAAGCACAAATGTCTTCCATGCATTTTCTTATGATTTTATAACTATTAGAGTTCATAATTGGAAATAAATTAGTAAAGAAAAGAAAATTGTTAAAATTATTTGCTAATTGTTCGTAATTTAAAGAATACATTTCAATAATATATTATTATTAATCAATTAAGTGACAGAAGAATTGTTTCAAATATTTGCAATCGTTATTTACTATTTTACTCTTATTATTAAATTTGAATTATATTTAAAATATAATCCAAAAAAAAGAAAGAAAAACAAAAGCAATGAGCTAGCAAAAACAACAACATTTCTAATTTTTCTTTTTTTTCTAACTCATTTTTTATATAAAATTTATAATATCAGTTTTAATTGCAATATTCTTCAAGCAAAATTCTGAGGTTTTCATTACTCTGATTTCTCCATCTAAGAGGAAAAAAGAATATAAAAGAAAATTATTTAGAGAGAAAAAAAATGCATAATTTCTTGCGAATTAAATTGTTTTACTAATTAATTATCTATAATAAATTGTTTTCAAATTCTTGCAAGAACTTTATACGCTGTTTTCCATTCGTCAACTTTGAGAAATAATTCCAAAAAAATGAAAAAAAAATTTTAATTTTTTTTCTCCCATTCTGTTTGATATTGCGTCATTAGCAGCTAATCGACGACGTACTTCTTAGCATTTAATTTAAAAGCTTTTTTTTTTTTTTTTTTTTTTTTGCCTTTAATAAATAATTAAAGGATGTATAACTTACGAACATCAAAATTACTTATATTTTAGACTTATTTTACTTTGTGCAAACATTTCTTACTCCTTACAAAGTATTTTTTAAAATTTATTCCATTTTTTATTTTTATCTTTCGACCCTAGTATTTTGCAAAAAAGTTGTATATTTAGAGCTATTAAAAAGTTAAAAGAAGTGAAAGATAGTTATATAGTCGTAAGTATACATTAAATCCGTTCCGTTTAATTTCGATCCGTTCGATCCGTTCGTTCCGTTCGTTTTTGATCCATTTATTCCGTTTCACTTTTTTTGATTTTGTTCTCCATTTTATCTCATTTTTTTTTTCGTTTGAAATAAAAGTTTTCAATTGAAAAGCTTAATAAATTATAGCTTAATGTGCATCTTGCAGGCAAGCTTACATGTCTAAAAACTGTTTACTTGTTATCTTTCCACTATCGGAAAAAGGTAATTCCTGCTAAAAACGCAAAGTATTTAGAAAATTTATCATAAAAAATTCAAGAATTAAAAATTGTTGTTTATATTTGCTATTTATATTTATTTTTAATTATTCAAATTTTTTAAATTTTCATGCAAAGTGGGGTACATTTGAAATAAAAATATCGACTATTTTGTAAGAAAAAAAAGGATTTTTAATTTCACGAATTTGAAGCAAGAATTTTTCATTTTTATTCTATTTCTGTCATTTTTTTTTCTTTTTTCACAAATAAAATCTTTGTGTTTCTGTTAGGAAATATCATTCTCTTATGATATTCACTGATAAAATTATACATTTTTTTAAAATACTAACAGAAACACAAAGATTTTATTTGTGAAAAAAGAAAAAAAATGACAAATTTTAAATCGTTTAGTGAAATAATATATCAAAAATAGCACTAAAAAATTTTGAATTAATATATTTAAACTAATCAATTAAAGTTATGTATTTAAATTCCAATTAATCAAAAAGTTTTCGCTTTTCACATTTTCTTGCTTCCTTTCTATTAAGAAATTATTGTGTAATAAAACATTTCATCTATAATATTACAGAACTTTTTCAAATTTCGAAAAGAAAATTTTAATTATTCAAAAAAAAAAAAATTACAGTGTTATCCTGGTTTATCAACAACGCGTAAGATGTCACTGGTGGGTAAACCGTTGGTTTATAAAAATTATAGCACTGATCAGAGGTTTCGACGGGTTCAGTGCAAGGTGCATAATTTTCTGGAACGACCACGTGGTTGGAAAGCTGCTGGTTATCACTTTGCTGTGTAAGTATATTTGAATTTTATAAAAATAATTAAAAATCATTTATTTTATTCGATTTTATGATTGTTTATTAGCAGCCAATTCAATTATGAATAATTTTATTATGTCATTTCAGTTTTTCTTATTGCTTTTGTTTTTCAGAAAACTAATAGTAGAAAAAATGGTTAAAAAAAAAAAAAAATTTGGCTGATATTTAATATTTATTTATTCAAATATTCGAACTTTTTCTAAATTTTAGTCAAAAATTCTATCAAATTGTATTTTTTTTCAACTTCTATTTTCAATAAATTTGGAAATTTATATGATTTGTTTTAGTACGACTAGTAAGTATTACTTAACTGATAATCGCACTGATAAAATATACTTTTTTATTCTTGTTAAAAATGTCAAAATATTTGAAATGTTTCCTCTGTTCAAAGCATAGCACATGCAAATTTTGGATACCTTTTTCAATCATACATTTTGTTTTCATATTGGCTACTTCCCAATAAATAATGCTGAAATTCGACAAAATTAATTTTAATAAAAAATTTAACAAGAACAAAAAAAGGATAAAAATTTGAGGAATAAATCTTTATTTATAATTTCGAATTCCGTTTTACTGTTCTTTGCTCTTTCATTGCCTTTTTTTTTTTTTTTTTTTTTTTTGTTTTTTCATCAAGTTTCGTTTATTTTATTTTATTTTTTTGCTTTTTTTTTCAGAATTGTTACAGTTTTGATTTTTTTCCTTGGCATTTTATTTAAGTATTAGTAGTTCTTTTTTCATTTTATTTATAATAATGTTATTACTCTAATAAGCATTTCGATAATTTTTGTCTTTTTTGTTTTTTTTTTTAAAGTTTTATTTTGTTTTCTGCTAGTTTCTTTTCTTATCAGTTTTTTAGATTTTATTAGTTGCTTTTGTTAACAAAGCTCCAACATCCTTCCAGAAGTTTGATTATCAAATACAAAACTAAAATGAATTTAATTCTTTAATTTTCCATTAAAAAAAAAAAAACAATTTGAGCACTTTTTCAAAAAAGCATAGTAAGACTGCAATAATTATTCAAAATTAACTCATTGCTCAATTCAATAATTTCCTTTACTTTGTAAACTTATTTAGACTTATAATGGTATTGATGTGTCTCGCGCTAAGTGTCTTCTCAACGATGCCCGATTTTGAAGAACAAGCAACTCTAATACTTTATTATATTGTATGTTTCTTTTCGTCTTTTTTTCAAATTTCTAAAATTATTTTTCTGCATAAAATTTATTAATTTACGTATTGGTACGTTCGTTTTTTATTAGCAAATAAGTTGGATTATTATGGAATAAATGAAAAATATAATTTCAATTTATAAGTCACGTATTAGTGACTTATAAACACGTATTAGTGTTTCTTTTTTTTGAATTTTTCTTTTGGTTTTTTTTTTTTTTTTTTTTTTTGTGCAGTTTTGCAGGTATGAAAGGAACAAGAAAGAATTTCAGTGAGAATTTTTTATATTTATTTCAAACAAAACATCAATAAGACAAAGATAATTGTAAAATTATAGTAATAGACAAGAAATATTAATTAGTTTGAATTATTACATATTTATAAAGAAGTAACATATTTATAATTATTACATATTTACATATAATATAATTGTCAATAAATATGCTATTAAATGAAAATTTTAAGCAGCTAATTATTTAATGATAGAATTATTCATTGATTTGAAATTTTGCATACTCATTATCATTTTCTAAATGTATTATGAAATAATAATATATGTTCAAATATTTAATGATATATATTCAGGAAATAGTGTTTGTATTTTGGTTAGCGATGGAATATATATTTCGGGTTTGGTCATCCGGTTGTCGCTCACGTTATCGTGGTATATCAGGCCGTATACGTTTCGCTACCTCTGCTTATTGCATTATTGGTTAGCATTTTTTGCTTATGCTATAACACTAATAACAATAATAAAGCAATAACAGCGGAAAGATTTCAAAAGTGATAAATTTTATTTTAAGCGTGTAATATTGTGTACATTTATCAGAAATAAATAAGAAAAAATGTTATCATTTAAGAATAATAGCATGAAAATCATTGATTAAATTTTAAAACGTTCAATTGTTTAATTTCAAAAAATTTTCATAAGATTGTTAAAATTATTTTTAAAAACTATAGTTTCATAAAAAAGATAAAAGTGTTTAATATTTTCTTTTAAAAATGGATTTTTTTTTTTTTTTTTTTCAGATATTATCGTTATTACAGCATCGATAATAGTTCTATGTATTGGTGCAACTGGACAGGTTTAAATTTCATTCATTTTCAATTGCTATTGCTAATGATCGGTCATTAGGGATACTTTTTGTTAATTGTTAAAACAAAAGTCAAACAAATTTGGTAAAACATAAATTGTAAATTATAAATTAAAAGTTAGTAGTTAAATTAAAATAACTGTAATATCAAATTAGAAATTAATATTGAAAAAGCTAACGACATTTTCATGTTAAAGTTAAGTTTTTTTTTTTCTCTCATTTTTTCTATATTTTTAGTTTCACACACACAACAATATATGATGGGAGAAACAGGAAAAAAAACAAAAAGAAAAATATTATTTTATCGTTTAATAATAATAAAATAAAAATTATTAATTGGATTTGAAAATATTTAATTATTCTGTTTTCAAGATTTTTCTTGACAAATTATGCAAACTTTAAATTTGGTAATTTATGAAGCAATTCCAAACAGTTAATTATTTAATTATTCAAATCTTATTTTGCCATTACCTACGTATTTTATGTTCCACTTAATCAGCTTCAAAAATTTCAATTTTATTATAAAAAATAAAGAATCCCATTAAATTTATTAGGAAAAAAACCTGTCAAAAAATAGGTTAAATTTAAGAGAAAAAACTAAAACATATTTTTTTTGTTAAATCAATGATCAAAGCAAAACATTTAGGGGCATTTGGGGAGAATATTTAACCACAAAAATTTTGATGTAATGATTCTGCAAGAAGATAAAAATGAAATTTTTTGTCAAATTTAAATATCGTCAACTCTTGACATTATTTTTTGCAAATTGTGCTTTTTTTCTCAAATTCAACGCTGATTTAGTCATTTACTTGCTGCAAAATAATGATATATTATGTAAAATGTTAATCGAAATACCTAAATTTTGTAGCACTTTCGTTTTAATTAGTCTCGCAACAATAATTAATATTTGCATATGCTTAAAGCGAAAGTTCTAATTTTCTATTCTGGAAAATTTTCACATTTTTCCATTCCATTTCACTAATTTCTTATATTTCGAATTATTTCTTTTTTATGAAAAGTTAAAATGAATATTTTAAATTTATTTTGTCAATAAATAAATTTAATTAGAATAGAAGAATTTGTAAATAATTTTTTCATAATATCATGATTTGTCCCACATTTAGCAAAGACTAAAATGAAATGATGTAATGAAATAAAATAATTAATGGTAAAATAATTAGTGCAGAATTAAACTTTATTGCACAAATTATTGTCATGAAATCGTTGTTTCATCTTTTTTGTTCCAAGTAAAATTGAAACATAATGCTTTGGTTAAATTTCAAAAGCCATTAAGAAAGCATTGAAAAGAATAATAAAATTTTTAAATGTTTTTCCATAAAACGAAAAAAATCAATTTTATATTTACATTTTTTAAGAAGAATTACAATAGAATTACATTTTTTAAAAAAAAAGAATTACAACAAAGCTTTCAAAGTTTCAAAAAGGATAATTCAGAAAATTTTTTTTTGAAAATGAAACACATTAGTTTTATGTTCATATTTATTGGTTTAATTATATTCGTTAAAATACCTACTGTACTATTTTTTTCCGTTTTTCTACCACTTCAAATTTGAATTGATTCTAAAAAAAGGAAAAATTCATTTTTCTAAACTAGCTCATTTGCTGAACCAATGAGTTATATTTAAATATCACTAAGGGTTAATTGTATGTCGCAATGAAATACTTTTCTAAAACACTTTCAAATTTTATCAAGAAATAATCAATAATATTTCTTTTCATAAAATTTGTTTCTAAAAAAAGAATAAGAGAAAATATAAAACCAGAAAAAATTTCAGCAAAAAAACGCCACCAATTTTAAATTCACAATTATTTTTCAATCCATTAACTAAAATTCAATTTTTACTGAAATTTTTTATTATTTTATTATAATTCACAATAGTTCCGTTTAATTTCATATTTTATCATATAACATTCATTGAACGGTTGAACTTTTTGTTCTAATTATAAGCAATGTTTCTTCAAATTTTTTTTTTTTAAAAATTCAAAAAAATATATATCAGTTGTTAATTTAAAATATGTATTCAAAGTATGCATTTTATTTTTCATTAAAAAAAAAAAAAAAAAGAAAAAGAAAAAACTGAAATATCAATTCCTATTCAATAGCTATATAATTGCCAATTGAATGAATTCAAAAATTATTGAAAAACAAATCCGGAAATCCGTTTTTTTCCTCCTTTCTTTCTAATTATAAAAAGGAAAGCTTAATTTATAGCACGAAGCTTGCTGCCTATTACCAATATTTTTAGACTGCGTAATACTTCAAGTTTTAATACTTTACTTTTATTTACAGGTATTTGCAGCATCAGCAATACGTGGCTTAAGGTTTTTTCAAATTCTGCGTATGTTACGCATAGATCGACGAGCAGGTACATGGAAATTACTGGGCTCTGTCATTTGGGCTCATCGTCAGGTTTGTTAAATTTTCTTAATTATGAGAAGATATGCAAATGATTCATTTAGTTCAAATATTTTTAAAAATTGAATTTATTGTCTATTTAAATATTTAAGTTGAAAAAGATTATTTGTCACTGTTTCAAACTTTATAAGAATAGGATGAAAGTATGCGTGACATATGCGTATGAAAGTGCTTTATTCCATTTTAAATTAAAACAAATAATCATTTACACAATTATTCAAAAACCAATTGTGTTTCTTTTCGTTCTAAAAAAATTTAGTCGAATAAATAAAAAGTGGTCAATTTCAAATATTTTCCAATATTTTCATTTCAAAAATTATTGCTTATTTTTTTTAAAAAAAGATAATTTTAGGAATTGCTCACAACTTTGTATATTGGTTTTCTTGGACTTATCTTTTCATCATTTCTTGTTTACCTTTGTGAAAAAAGCACCAATGAGAAATATTCAACATTTGCGGATGCTCTTTGGTGGGGAGTGGTAAGTTTCTTACCTGTTATCATGTGTGAAATTTTGAAATTTATAATAGTTATATTTAAAAAAAAAAAAACGACAAAATTACATTTATCTTGAAAACAAAACCAAAACTAAAATATCAATCAATTTTATCAGTTTTCTTTTTATAACTCTTAGATAGCCAATTTTTTAACACTAATAATTTAATACGTAAAGTTTATTAACAGATTACTTTATCAACTGTTGGTTACGGTGATAAAACACCCGAAACATGGCCTGGTAAAATGATTGCAGCTTTTTGCGCCCTTCTTGGCATTTCATTCTTTGCTCTTCCTGCTGTAGGTTTTGCCTTTTTTTTTTTTTTTTCATTTCCAAAATTATTAGTATAAATATCCTTTCAAATTATAATAAAGGTTTTTTTTTTTTTATAGGTTTGAATGAATGTAAGTATCTTTATCTAAAATTTCAATTTTATAATAATAGAGGAACTAAAGATTTTCCACAGTAAAATAAATAAATCTCTTTTGTAGTTGAAAGATAAAATTTTTTTCTTAATTTATTTCAAAAATTTATGCATATTCTCCGTAATTAAACATTTCTCATAACGCATTACTTACAAGTAATAGTGGTAATAATAATAAACAAGAATAGTAATAATAATAATAACAGTAATAATCCGTATATTAAAGATAGGTAATTTTCTAACAATTCATTAGTGTTATGCGAAATTTTTTATTAGGGTATTTTGGGTAGTGGATTTGCTTTAAAAGTGCAACAGCATCAACGTCAAAAACACTTAATTAGACGACGTGTACCAGCTGCGCGCTTAATTCAGTGCATGTGGAGGCATTATGCTGCAACACCGGAAAGTTGCTCAATGGCTACGTGGCGTGTTTACTTGGCAACAATTAATTCACCAAAGTAATAATCAGTCATCCTGTCATTTTTTTCTTTTCATATGAAATCTTTATTTAACACTGAGTGATAGCAGTATTGATTAGATATGGTAATGGTAAAAAAAAATAATAATATCTGTATTAATTGATTAAAGTTATCTCATCTTCTTGTTCTTTTTTTTTTTTTTTTTTTTGCTCTTTCTCTCTCTCTCTCTCTCTCTCTCTTTCTACAGAAAATTTTGTTTCATATTGAAAAAGAATATTATTGATTAGATAAAATGAAATGATAATAATTGAATTAACTGATAGGGAAAAAAGTGATAAAGAATACATTTAAGAGTGCACATTTCATTTGTTGCTTCAGTAATTGATATTTTAATTTTTGAATTGTTTTAAGGGAAAAAAAAAAGAGAAGGAAATCATTCTTATTCTATCATAATTTATCTTTATTTGTTTTTGTGATTGCTAACAAAAACAAAAGGCTTTTACTAATCAAATATTTTGGTTTGAAATATTTTCATTTTCAGTAACTATCTATCATTAATTATATTACTTCTTTTGCATGTTTTTGTGCAAAAATTTCCTAACATTTTCATCTAGAATTTCATTAATTTTTCTTTTCCAAAAAATTGTGAATTGCATGATTGTTGCACAGCTAATTATGATTCACACATTACATTACGTAATATTCAAACTCCATTAAGTTAGAACTGAAATTGATTTCATGGATCTCTGAAAATGCAAAATGAATTCAAATAATTAAAAAAAAAAGAGTTACTCTATTTAATTTTTTCAAATTATTAACGTATGAACATTCTTCTGGATTTACGCATTCATATTAACTGAAATTATGATTTGATATTTTAGTCAGTTAATAATAATAATAATATCTTTCTGCTAGCAAAAAAGATGAAAAGCTAAGAAATTATTTATTGCATTACCATTACTAGTAAAGATGGAAAATAGTAATTGACTTTCTTTATATCTTATATTTAATAATTTATTAAGTAAAACGGTCATCACTTTATCATAATAACTTATACGTAACTATTTTTTATAGAAGAAATCCTTATCGGTGATATTTGTTGGCAATGAATTAATCAATAAAAAATATTCCTAAAATGTAATTAGATTTCTAATTAACTGTATTTTACAGCCCTTTGTAGACAAATTCAAATTGAATGGATTTTTTTTTTTTTTTTTTTTTTTTTTGTGCAGACTTGTTAATGGTTAGTAAGCAAAGAAAACTACTATGAGATATTTCAATTAATTAAAACAATAAATGGGTGCTTGGTTAAATGAACGTTTTCACGTTATCTTACGTAGCGAAATATTACATTTTCAGTCATGCCGTAATAGGTTATGGAAACGACAGAATTGAACGACGTCGCCATACAACGAGTTATAATTGGCCAGAGAAGAAATCTTTACTGTGCGTGAAATGGTTAGAGAAAACCGGAAATTCTACCGGATATATTTATGCTACCTAATTATACTCATACTAAATTTATAAGATTGTATTTCGAACAGTATCTTTATAATCACTTATTCCATATAAACAGTATTGGTCAGCAAAAATGCTCACAAAAGAAAATGGAAAAAACCGAAAAAAAAATTTATTTCTTATTTGGGATGCAAATTTATGTATTCATTGCAAATATGCTAATAAAACAAGCATATTACTATAATTAGGTAACTAAAATTATTGAATTAATTAATATTTATTCCTTAATTTTATTCATAAATATTAAGCATAGATATTAAGCATAGACTGCTTAATAATATCAGCTTTTGCGTTGTAAATTAAGAATGTTCACAATGCACGCAAATGCATGACTATTACTGATTGGAATGCTTCTTTAAATAGCGAATATAGCTTCTCATACATTTTCCTATGATAATAATCATATAATCATTATATTAATATTATGAATTTTTAGAATTCAATCCAAATTATGATAGCATCGATATATTAATTTTATGTATTCGGATTTTTAAATTTCATTATCGTTCTCAGTTCATAGTAGTACCTGAATAAAGTAAAGTAAATGATGGAAAATTACGCTTTAGGAAGACGAACGGAAAGAAAAACATGTGAATCAGTAATTCATTTGGGAATATATAGTGCAAGAAAATTATTATCATATTTTAGAGTAGTCATTAATTTCTGTTTCTTTTTTGTTCTTTTTCCTTTTTTTAAAAAAAAAAAAAAAAAAACTTTAGCTAAATAGTTTTGTTTATTTAATTTTCTCAATACTTCGGTGGAACGAAATTATTCGAGAGTTTTGATATTTGTAGAAAGCAGGAAAATTTTTCACAAAAAATTTTCTATCCTTTACTCTTTTTCAAATTCGCCCATTTGTAGTTTGTTTAATTTTAGGAAAGGTTATGGGTTATTTATAATCGAGTAATTGATAAAGTGTTGAAGTAAACTTCATAAATTTTAAATAGTCGAAAGTTTACTTTGACATGTGTCAATATAATGGTTTTACTTTAATAAAATATAATGAATTTTGGAAAAATAAAAATTGCTATTGTAATTTGAAATAACCATTGCTAACTTTTGATAAATAGATATTAATTGCAAGATTATTCTCTCTCTCTCTTTTTTTTTTCTTTTCATTTGGTTTAAGAAAACTTATACTTTGCATGTTTTCTTTAATAATAGAACTAACAAAGTTAACAGATAAAAATAATAAATTATATGCAGTTCTATTATTTATTATATAAGTTTTAGGAATTTTTTACAGAATTAAAATTTGATATATTGCAGTAGTCGTGGTGGTGGTGGTGGTGGTAGTGGTGGCAATGGTTGCCAGCCAAGTTTGATCAGTCGGATACGGCAGAGTACAAAACGGCGTACAGGATCTAATGTGATGAGTCATTCAGAGAGTACACTTGATCGTAATGCCGGTGATACGGTAGAACTGGGAAAAGTGAACCCATTTAGCCACCACGGCAGTTCAATCGTTCGAACATTAGCCGTACCACGACAAAATGATGATATTAGGTAAACAGTTTGGTTGTTATAATCATTGTAATCACCAAGTAAAGTTTTAATTTTTATATATTCAATTTATAAGTTCGAATGTAATTGTTAAAGCGATCTGTAGCATTTTAAAAAAATGAACATCTGACATTGTATATAAATATTTTATACCTAATATCATATATATTTACCTAATTAAATGGTGAAAAAAAATTGAAACAAATTTTCCAATAAATATGAATATTTTAATTGAAAACATTTCAGTTTCATATCGGCATCAGATTACAGCGAAGTAGAAAGTCTTGGCGCTTTGGGTTTCAGTTTAAGTGGTTGGAAAGCAAAAGGTCGAAGCAGTACAAGTGCTGCATATAAAAAAAGCCACGATGATTCATCTGGCGCAAATAGAACCTTTAACACTACGACATTAGTTGGAACTACTGATATTGGTTAATTTTTAATTTCATAATCAAGATTTGTAATTAATTCATAGATTATTTTATTTCTAATAATGATTTCATTCTTTTTTTTTCCTTCCTTCTTTTCTTTTTTAAATCTTAAGAACCAAATGAACTTTTCATATCATCCCAAATACTACAACAAAATTTGAAAACGTTATAAAGGAAATATCACTGTTGAAACAAAGATTGATTTGTTTACTGCAATTTGAATTTTATATATTTTTTCCTGATACTATCACTATTTATTACTTACTACTACTACTACTTTTACTGTTGCTGCTGTTCTCTTCTTATGACTTATTGTTTTAATTAAAAATTTTTTTTTTCTATAATTCCATTCAAAAAGTTTTTAAATTTGGAAAAAATTTGGAGAAAATTTTCCGTTGATTAAATTTTGAAGTGCAGTAATTTTATTCATTCAGTACTCTAAATGGATACTTCTTGTATATTGCTATTTGAAGTTATCATATTGATATAAAAGTACCAAAAGTAATTTTGGATCTTGAATTATAATATACTATAATTAAGCTTAAATACACCTTCATATGTCAAAGTATGACACTTTTTTGTCAGCGAGAAATTTTCTTTATTTCTTTGATCTAGAAATCGGTGTTTTGAAATTTAGCAAAATATCGGGAAGAGTTCGTATATTTTTCGATTATGACGACATTTTCCTGTATTGTGATAAGTCAAGCAAATATTAACAATAAAGCAAAGCTATATACTAAATATGAATGGTGATTTTTTCGCTTATTAGACAGTTTCCATGAATTAACCATTCATCAAGCTAATTTGCATGAAATAACAAAGGACATGTAAAATGCGCAATTTCTCACATAATTATAAAAGGAGAAACATCAACAATTTCTTTTAATCATATTTAACCTTCAATAACTGATCATTCTGTTTTGTAAGTGTTTTCGGACCACGTTTTTCAATAACATTGATAAATGCAGTCCTGATGTCGTCCATTACTTGCCCCTTTTAATTTAATTCATTATGTGTTTCTAATTCGAACAAATGAATTCCACTAAATTTACCCTTTGACATTAGAGCAAATGAAAAAAAAAATTCCCTAAGAATGTACTGCTAGTATGAAATAACAAGTTCCACTGCTGTAAAATTTATAAATTATTTTTGTACAATCTTCAACCAAATTAATTTGTGATAACCAATATCACAACAAAAAGTTGATGAATAACTATTAATGATGCACATGAAATAATAAAATATTCCTGATTATCACTGTTTCTTATTCTATCTAGCTCGTCTTTTTTTTTTTCCACCCGTTTTTCATTTATCAGTTTTTGCCCTACAAATATACTTCTCAATTTACTAACTGTTACTGCTTTTCACTTTGTCTGTGTGGGTATTAGTGTGTCATTAGCATTGCTTTGCTTCTTCAGAACATCTGCAACCATCAGGAGAAACCGCTGAACCAAACCAATCGTTATCATTATGCAAATATTTGACAGAAGAGGATGGTGATTATATGGTGGGTGATTATAATTTGGTAATAGCACCGCTCTATCACTGGTGGGAAAAGATGCAACAGAAATATCGAGAATCGGATGAACGTGAAGGAACAGAACATACAATGTGGGATCATTTAGGCTCCTGTGCATCACTCACAAAATCTCGACGTTTGCGCCGAGAACCCCATCTTGACATCTACAATATTGGTATTTTAATATAATTCACCAAATAATAATAATATTTACTTTCTTTCTTTTTTCGCTACTGCTAATGGCTCGCATGCATGCATGTATTCATCTTCAACTTACATATTCATTAAATTGAAATCATTTGTTTTAAGTAAGTATCCTATTCTGCATTGGATCAAATCTTTTTTTTTTTTTTTAATATGATGATAATATGAACTAATAATGCATGATATATTCTCTTATTTAATTTTTGTAAGCTAATTCAATAAAGCTGTTATTTCTTCTAAATGGCATGCTATATCTTCCAATTCTTTTCCTTCCGATATCAAAAATGCTCACCGATATTATTCGTAATAGTATCATCTATCATTTCATAACATTCCATCTTCCATATTTATGTTTAAAGCCTTCTATTTCTAGCGCAAGTTTCAAATTTTTTATGATAATGTTAATGATTATAAATTTTACTTTAAATGTTATTTCAGATGATGATTCACCATCATTGCAACCAAAATCAATGGATGAATTTACTCCATCGCTAAAAAATGTCATACGAGCAATTCGACGTATACAACTTCTTGTTGCAAGGCGTAAATTTAAAGAAGCTTTAAAGCCATATGATGTCAAAGATGTCATCGAACAATATTCCGCTGGTCATGTTGATTTACAAGCACGTGTGAAACATGTGCAACAAAGGTTATTATCGTAATGTTAATAATGTGTAAAATTACACAAATAATAAAATACATTAAAGTTTATATGAACTCTAACAGCATTTCCAATACTTTTCAATAATTTACTTAGACTAATATCATTAATTAATCATATCATCTATGTAATGGATCGAGATAGCGAAAGTAATTTAATCGGGAGACGTAATTTAATTTAGAATCAAAGGAATAAAATTAACAATTTTAATAGATACTTCTTTTTTAGGCTGGATCAAATTGTTGGAAAACCGAAAGAGGAAGTAAAAGTGTCCTTAACGCATCGAGTAATTATTATGGAAATGCAGGTATACATATGTCTGTTTATACAAATTTTGTTTTTTCTTTTTTTCTCTTGAAGTAATGAAGTGATTTCAAAAGCAAAATATGTTAATGAATATTCTGATTTCAAGTTATGAATTTTTCTATCATTTCTAAACATTTATTGATTATTTTTCAATGCAATTCTTCAACTTTTTCTTTTTTTAAATTTAAAGTGTGGTATTATAAGATTACTTGATGGATGACATATATCTCACTGAAAACAAAGTGCCAATAATGTTTGTTACAGATGCAAAAAATTGATAAAAAATTGGATTTATTGCTTGAAATATTTTTGGGAAATAAAAATCAAAAAAAACAATTAGGTGATTATCCATTTCCATTTCGAATTCCAAACTCAGCTCCACAGCGTATTATAGCCAATTCTGAACCTGGAACATCTTCCACAACAAAGTAATATTTGCATTAATTCTTGTGCTATCATTTAAATTAAAATTTTTGATCTAAAATTTAGTTTTAACTTAATTTCTCTTAAATCTTAATCCTAAATTTTTATGAATAACATATCACATAAAATTAGATCATTCAGAAAGTTTCAAAAGGAAGTATTAGGAATTTTTAGGCTTGACAGTTCAGCTCCACAATGTACTACAACATCTTCAAATGATACGGAAATGCTTCCAGCATCCGACAAATCTGATGAAGACGATGGACAGTTTCAGTCAAATTGTCCCATCTTGGGAGCCAACCTTTCGAGTAGTTTCATTCATTTCAATTTTATAAATTATGCATAAAATTAGAATAGTAAAAGTATTTGACCTTAAGAAGATTAATTTCATGTGATAAATATGATTAAAAATAATTTTAAAAAAAAATGAAAAATAAAATGATTAAATCAAATTTTAAAGGAAACTCCGAAAACTCATTGAATACGGGATCAGCTCGAACACAGTTTTGGACACCACTGGAAACGCCAAACAATATCAATCAAACGGCAGCTGTATTATCACATCATATTGATAGTAATGAATTGGAACCATTATTGGATAATCAAAAGGATGAGAAGTCGAGTAGTACACGTATTGATTTCTTTTAAATTTTTACAAATTATCAACATATCAAATTACTAAGATAATTTCACTAAATATTATTCTCTCCTACTTTATTTTTCTGATTTCTCTTTTTGGGATTACAATCGATCGATATTGCTAATTTTCACAACCTTACCTTTTAATATCAGAAAAAAAAGAAGAAGGAAAAGAAAAATCTAAACAAAGACAATTGTTCCCAACTTGTTCACTCGATTATCATATCATGTCATCTTGTTGCGTCCTTTAATTTTGCTCATTTCGAAATTTTATTTTGTTTCATCTTAAACAATGTGTTAAAATATCTCGGTGCTTTAATTTACCATTTTTGTCGCATCATTTACTTTTTTAGTTTACAAAATTTCCTGAAATTAATCAAATTAAAACGAACAAGCATAGAAGTGGAGAAATTATAAGTAAATTGATTTACTAAACAGAAATCTATTGCTGTACTAACATGCAGGAAAATGTTACAAAAGTTACGGTTAAAAGATTTCTGTTTAAATTCATCTGCAGATCAGATCATCGAAATAAATTTTTGTCATCTGATTGTGAATGATGTAAACGCTATTTAATACATAACAAATTTTCAGTTGCACATCTTAAAGCTGCCTAATTTTTTTTGCTTATTTTCCATTCCTTGTTATTATAAAATCCCATTTCACACAAAATGCAAGAAAAAAAATACTGCTTGATACCTCATCATATTCAATTAAATTCACAATGTTTAAGCCAAAATTTATCAGGAAAAAAAAAAATAATTTTTTTTTTAACAATTTTTTAACAATTCAGCAATCATTGGTGTATACTTATATAAAATATTCTCAAATATTTTTAACTAAATTTGTACAAATTTAAATTTAAACAAGATTTCATAATATTTTCAAATAGAACGGGTTCATAATTCATTAATTTCTTCTCCTTTTTAACTCAATTTTATTATTACATTATAATTCATCTATTACAGTGATGAAATTGATGTAATTTTCCTCATATGATTATTTGACATATGGTTTTCCTCACGTCTAATTGATTTTTTCCAATTAGTCATAAGGCAAATGTAATTTTAAATGCAGTGCATATGCATAAATTTATTTTAAATAAATAAATATTTATAAATATATATACATAAATACCAAATGTTATGTTCCAGGATAATAATTTTCATTATTTTCCTTTTTTCATCTTTTTTATTAACTATTTTTTAACCTCCAATAATAAATATATTGTTTGTGTATTTTCCACTAAATCATTTGCTCTTATTTGCCTCCTATTCACAATTTTATCAATAATAATTTAAATATTTGCTTAAAAATCAACTGAGAAAAACACAACTTTTTTTTTAAAGCACTTCAAATTTTTAGATTTATTTATCTTATTGTTATTCTTCAATTTAACTACTCTTTTCGTTATCGTACTGTAGTGTTAATCTTATAAAGAGAGAATGAGTATTGGGCAGAAATAATAGTTCAACACGATTTAATTATCATTTCATAAAACGAAATTGAATAATATTTTAGAAATAGACAGGGAAGAAAGAAGAGGAAGAAAGATAGCAATAAAGATTTTAAAAAAAGCTTTTATTATAATGCTTCTGATGTTGGGTACAAACAATGAAGCAAAATAGAAGTTTGATGTAAAATGTAAAATAATTGAGAAAAAAGAAATGAAGAATGAAAAGATTGAAATTTGGTAGAGAATATATGAAGTGATCTCAAAAACTCTTCCAATTATCAGCTTTGCTTGCAATCTGTCATTTAAAAATTTTTTTTGAGTAAGCAAAAATTCAATCCCAAAAAATTCTAACATTTGTTACTTATTTTGGAGAAACAAAAAATACTCTGGATGATTCGCAGAATCTTATGAATTTACTAGGACAAGTACTGGTTACACCACTATTCATTCAGAAATAATTTGAGAATTTTTTGGAAAAAAGAAAAAAAAAACGAATATTTTGACAGCACTACCGTCATTAATAATTTTTTTTCTTTTTTTGTTAGTTAATAAAGAAAAGTGTAGACGATCGGTGACAATTTCTGCGCAAGTGGTATTTTTTTTTCTTTACTGAACTATTCAGTTAACTGATTGATTATTGATTAATTTTAATGATTTTGGCATCTATGGCGAGAAAATAAAACATTTCAATCTTTTCTTCATAAAAGTTGATTCTTCAATAGCATTACGAGAAAATTACATTTTCATATTATCAAATGCAATATTGTATTTTTCATATTATCAATTACAATATTGTATGCCTGTAGATTTATGATCAACAAACAATGTTTGAAGTTAAAAGCTTTCAAATTTACATTGTTAATTGCTGTTCGTCGGATTCCGCATAGTCTGCTCTAATTGGAGAAAAAAGTTTTTATGTGGAAATAGAATTTAGAAAAATAAGCATTAGCTAAGAAGTGATAAGTCTGAAAATTTTGTCAAAATAACGTTGTCACATTGTATAATTATCGATAATGATTAGAGGCTGAAATATTAAGACGACGGCATGCAAATGCTTCAAAAATTTTTAATTCCTAAAGTTTTGATAAAATTTGTTAGATGGTAGATAAATGGAATATAGCACGGTCCTTTCGCTTTATTAAGCAAACTTAAATTGAAAAAGTCGAAGAAATTATAGCAAACTGTCTCTTAGACTGATTAATAATGCTCGGTCAAACAATCTCGTCTCTGGACACTCAAAAATATGACTATTTGATAAATCATAAATTTTGAGTGTAAATAGTTTTTCATAATATTGATTCGTGCAGTGGTTTGAAAGTATCGATGATGTGATGAAATTAAAATGACATTCTTCAAATGTTAACGAACAAATATCTGAATTTGAAGATGTTATGGAAATATCGATGTTAGAGCCCATCACACAATATAGAATTTGTACCACAAATATGTTTAATTTCTGTGAATTCATTTGTGACAACCTATCAAACATAATAATATCACATGAAATGATGAAGTAAGCATTAACCTCAGAAAAAAATAAAAACACCAGCTAAAAAAAATCCATGCAACTTAAAATTTTATATAGTAACAGGAATTATACGAATGATCACTGACTGAATTGACCCGCAAACAGAACAGTCTTTAAGTTCTGAACGATTGCAAAGAGGAATGGTTGATCAGCGATGAAATCGGATGTAGTTAATATGCGACCCTCCAACTCAAGCACAGTAGCAGCTGCTGCTTCTGTTCCTTTTTCATTTACCTTCAAATAAATGATTTAATTGAATTTTGTGAATTAAAATGTTTGTAATTGTCTTTAGTAGTTTTCAATAAAGTTTTCATTTAATGAATATTCTCCAAACCTCAATGAAGCCTCTATGCATGATGTTGCCTACAGAGATTGCATCATTAGTAAGCTCTCTGAAATTAGCTGTTTCACTGATAGCATCTTCAATACCAATTTTTTGTAGAGTTTCTTTCAAATCCATTTTCCCTTCCAAACGGAATTTCGGTAATTTTAGCTGAAAGCCGAAGAACATTAAATCGATAACAATAAAACTGTAAAATTACAAATCGATTAGCATATCGGAAAAAGCAAATGACAATGTTTTACCGATACATCGTTTGGTGTAGCTGAAGAAATATATGAAAGTAGATCTCGACCCGTTAAATTTCTCAGAACATTTTGCAAGCCAAAGCGTGTTTTTGGCAATATGAAGACCATTTCCACTTCTTCACCAATATAAGGCAATTTGATAACTTGCACAGAATGGTCCTCATAGTACGGGAATTCCGATTGTAATGTCATCATTGACACCTAGGAAGATAGAAATGATAGAGAGAAAGCACAGACAAATTCATTCAACATGAATGAGTTTTGAAAGAAACAGCTTGCCGCTTCAAATTTTGACATTCCAGAAGATATTCACATTTTTCGTTTCGTGCTGAGAAATATGAAATATTTCATCATGAGTATTCATGTCATCAAACTGTGTCTCCCAAGTACCACTGAAGTATATTGCATTTAGTAGCAACATTTTAGTGTTCTTATTGATATCGCCTGCTGTTATTAACTCTGTTATTTTACGATTAGTCTTTTGCGATACCCAATTGTTGATTTCCTGGAAGAGAACTTTACTATTGTCATTTACAATAATCAAAGACAATAATTCTTTAAACAATTGGAATTGCTGAATCTAAGAAATAGAACCACTTAAGAGATAGTAGCTACCATTGTATCATTCTTCCTTTCTGATTACATCTTTCTCTACTCATTTAATCTTTGTTTTTATCATAGATCAAACCTGAGCAACTTGTTGACTCTGTTCGTTACTGAAACTATGTAATGTTTCACCATAATAAAATCTAAGTACTCTGGCAAAGCTTTCCTTTACAGAAAATCCTTGCTGTACGTAAAAACGATTTGCTATATTCAGTGTGTAGTTTTCATTTTTTCTCGCATCAATAACTACCAGCAGTTTGCTAAAGTGTTTTCGAACTTCTGCTTCATTTGTACCTGAAAAAAAAAAAAAAAGTGACTGCTGTTTTATCAGTTATGAGGTAAGTTTTCAACAGAATTTCAACATTTCCAATCTGTTATTACTTCCTCCAAGAAAAATCTGCAGTTGTTGTTTCGTTTCTTCATCTGCTGCGAGATAAATCATAAAAAGTTCAGTTGCTATCGAAATAGGAGATAGAACGACAGATTTATTGCCTTGTACAATTTCTTTCAGCAAACTGACCGCAATATTGGACTGAGCATAGTCAATCGGAGAACTGCAAGAATCTGGTAAAGAAGAGACTGAGATTGAAAATGTAATAATGAAGACTACTGTTCATATTAAGGTGCCAATAACGACATAATTGGCTATGTCTAATTAATTACTTATTAGTTGTATAGAAATTTTCCAACATACATTTCTCCAAATATCTGTACGATTTGGATACTTGCAAAAAAAAGTAATGCAGTGATGACTGCTTGATCAATCATTCTGAAATATCAGTATGGTATTCGAAGTGCTGAAATAATCATCCGAAGGTAAATAAAAGTCCA